CCCCCCCAGATATTTTAACTCCTATTAACTGGTGTGTGACTATGGAGCACTATAAAAAGCTATTTCCCCAACGGCCCCAAGTCCCAACTTTTGTAATATAAACGATTTTTGAACACAAGTAATATTCTGAGATTTCGAATAACCGGACCATGGCCAGCTGGTTTCCTCATAATGTTTATCGACGATTATTCACCATCACTGTAGCAGTGTAGTGCTATACTTTAAAGTTTGTACAGTTTACGAGTGTATTTATTTTGATTTATTATTTCGTAATCGTAAATAATAAATAGGATGATTATGTTCATTGTTCCACTCTCCGTAATTTTGCCGTAATCGATAAAAGTGCCACGATTAAATGTTTAAAAATAGCGGCGTTCGCCTATTAGTCGGGTTTCCCACACAACTTGTCATTGCTCGACATATTTTGTTCATTGTATATGTATGTGTGTGTTAATGCGCCCGCTTTGCCGCATTTTGTTTGTATATAGATATAATAGATACATTTCATATTTATATTAATCTCAACATTCTCAACAATCATAACGGCAACACTCGCGACAGTTTATACTTAATAGTCACCGATGACGACTGTATGACCAGTTAAAGCGTTTAACACGTTAAAATATCAAAATGAGTGTTAGAAAAATTGATTCTTACTTTGGTCCTCAAACTAGTTCGACTAATGAAGAAGAATTACAAAAAAAACAAAAAACTACAAATACAGTGGCGGAAATTACTAATTTGGTGCAATCATGGAATGTGCAAAGTGATTTAGTCATAAACACAAGTAAGTAACCAACAGTACTACTTACTACCATCATCAGTGGCGTATTTAGGTTTTTGTCATGAAGGGGGGGAATGTGACTTAATACAGTAATTATAAACTCGAGGGGGGATACGCCCAGGGGCGGACTGGGGCAACATTTCGGCCCGGTAAATCTATATTTGACCGGCCCTTGCAATTTCTCGTCATCACAAAATATAAAAATTCAAATATACCAACGTTTTATTTAATGAGAAATGCATCACTTATTGATGCCATCACATTTTCAATTTTCTCAAAAAACAACTTAAAATTCTTAATATTTTTAGTACATTATATAATATATTATTATTATTATCATCTGAAGACCTAAATAGTATAGGCTAAAAAGTATAATATAATATTACTTATTTATAATTACCTATATTACTAAATTAGTATTAACATTAGGTATAATAACACATATTGTAATACTTATGTGAATGATATTTCAATAATTAAATATTTTTTACTTTTTTACATCTATATTTTAACATTTAATTAAACATTTTAATAGGTTAGATAAAAAAAGTTTTTTTTGCATATTAGTGCATATTTTGACTTCAGAGAATATTTTAGTTTATGGTACATAATACATATTATAGAATATTTTAGCATATTTCCGTTATATTTGATATATTGGATTATATTAAAGGATATTCAGCATATATTAGACAATTATCACGGACCACCGTACTAACTTTACTCCAGAAAATTTGGAAAAATATATTATTGTACATTCCTTTAAAAACATTGTATAAAATTTGTATAAAAATTGGTCATTTTTTATTTAATTTTAATTATATAGAATAAATTGTTAAATTAATAAGTTATAATAATAATAATAATATTTATTGTCACCAAATTAAAAACAATTTATGAGTAACAAACTAAAAACTACATTAAAATACATTGGTTCTCTTTTCAAAAGCTGAGCTTGTTATTTTCCATTTTTATAATTTTATGGAAGACTGAAATTAATTAATTTAAATTGAAATTTATATAATAATATCCTTAAGTATTTTTAATATTTTAATATAGTATAGTTTTGTTATGTTATTTAATTAGTATTGTCCTTTTCATTGTCCTTAATTTACTAGACCAAGTAACTAAATTGTATTTATAGTATATGAAATAATGTACAAATATTTTATGAGTTTATAAATTTATGTTACATGCGGAAATTCACTTAAATATTTAAAAATGTTTTCATATTTAAATGTAACTAATTACTATTATATATTAGTATTAAATTTATGTCTTATGCTGAAATGCACCTATACAGTTAAAATGTTTTTTTTTTTTAATTTTTAAATCATAGATCCTTTAATTGTATTTTTTATTTTCAAATATTACTATTATGTAATAATTTCATATTACATGCAGAAATTCACTTATACAATATTACAGTGTTTACTGATACATAAATCAATAGTCATTACCTAACTTTTTTTTTTATTGTTATTGAAAGAAGTAAAATCGTTGAACTTGCCCCTTCAAAAAATTTACTTGCCCTTTACCGCCCCCCTAGAAAGAAAATTCTGGCGCCATGCCTGACTATAGAGATCAATTTATTCAGATTTTGGTCAAAGCAAAAACAATAGCAGATGAATTAGGGGTGGATTCTGAAATAAAAGTAATTCGGAAGCGTATAAAAAAAAAAAAATTTGATTATGAGCGTTCAAATGATACTGATAATAGAACTGCAGTCGAAAAATTTAAACATGAATTTTTTTACACATTAATGGACGTTGTTACTACATCATTGACAGATCGTTTTGAACTTTTAAAGATCTATGTTGATTTTTGGAATTTTTTGTACGATTTAAAAAATGCACCTGAAAATTAAAACGAATTATTGAAACATTGTATGGATCTACACAATCACCTTAAAGATGGATCTGACACTGATATTGATGGTGTCGAATTATGCACAGAGATTGTGAACATCAAGCAATTATTAATTTCTTGTTTGGACGTAAGTTCACCTCTTAATATTCTTCATTACATTTTTGACTATGAACTCCAAGATATATTTCGAAATCTTTGGATTGCTTTAAGATTATTATTGACGTTACCAGTGACAGTAGCTAGTAGTGAGCGGAGTTTCTCAAAATTAAAACTCATAAAAACATACTATGGCTAATGAACGTTTAGTCTCACTATCGGTTTTATCTATAGAAAACGAAATAGCTGCGGAAATTGATTTTTCTACAGTTATACGAAGTTTTTACGAGAGAAAATCAAGAAAAGTGTTGATCGATAACAAATTTAAATTAATATTGTATTTATGTTATGTTTTATTGTACACTCTTTTTCCATTTATTATTAATTTCTGTATTATTTATTTTTATTAGTAGTATGTAGATATTTTGTATTTATATGTGAATATTATACCTATTACATTATATTTCGTCATAATATGTTATTTTTTTTTTAATTAAGACGATAAAAAATAATGTATAAGTTAAGTATTATATATAATTTTTCCGTATTTCTGTCCATGAATTTTTTCCGAATATTATGATATTATGGGTTGTATGAAAAAAGTGCCAGTTGGCATTTTGGCCTGGGGCGTTATTTAGCCTTGCGCCGGGCCTGTTGCCATACACATAATAATACATATTGCTGATTGGATAAAAGTATATTTTTAATTAAATTCAAATTTTTTAACCAAAATACAACATTAAAACATTATCAAAAAATATAATATGCATTGAAATAATTGATTTAAATCTTAAATTTATATTTTAAATAACACACATAATATAGTATTTACTTAAAACGTATTCTGTGGTTAAACATTCAAAGAACAATAATTAATTAATAATTTGTATTCGATGTTAGATAATGGAATTACTATAATGGAATGTATTATTAAGATAATACGTGAGAAGACCGTATACCAGGAATCAGTAAACAGTGATATATGTAACCATGCTGGTTAATTTTAATATGTTATTTTTATACTTTATAGCTGATACAGCGCTGCTGCAGGCTAGTCGCTCACTGATACACAGTGTTCTGGTGGGAGTGTTGATGGGACATTTTTTTTTTCCAACAGTATTGTTTATCTATCTTGTTAGGTATTCAAGAGTTATTATCGATTATGACCGTTATAGGTATTGTTAAATTGAGATACCATTCCGTTTTGATTTCTAGTTTTTACCGTTGGGTTTGATAAATTGCACAGTAGCAGTAAATTAAATATTTAAACATTACATTCACACAATTAAATAAGTCGCAAACGGATTACTGAAATCAAATTCTGTAAACGTTAAAATTATTTTTTTCAGTATGTTTATAAATTTTCGTTATCGAAAATAGGTATTGCCATTTGAAAATCAAAAGTTAATAGTGTTTTATCAAATAAGGGAGGAAGTTAAAATTATTAAAATTGTAACACAGTGTACAATAGTAAAACATAGAAAGTTTTAAAAAAAAATTATTTTAAAATTCCTTATACTTCCCGAGATATTAACTGGTTCACAATAAAAAAATCACTTTGTAAATAGGTTAGTTATTTTAGTTTTGTTAGTTTGGACATGAGACCTTGGTGCCAGACCTTGTCGAAAAGCTGTGCGACATCAAGAAATGCGGTGATCGTGTATATTTTATTTTCAAATCCGTCAACTATTACTTTTGAGGTACGCCGGAGTTGATGATATATAGAGTGGAGCGGTTGATTGGTGAGCTGGAATAATTTTTAGATATGGTTTCATTCTGTGTAATAGTATCCTTTCTAGTAGTTTGGAGAGGATAGGTAGTAGACAATTGGTCTATAGCTCTTTGATAAACTGTTTCTCAGGTTCGTGTATAGGAATAATAGTTGCTTGTTTCCATGTGTTTAAAAAATATACTATTCTTATAATGGAGCTTAAAAGGATGGCTAAGAAAGCAAGGGCTTTTGGGATAAGGTTTTTGAGAATTTTATTGATAATAAGGTCATGTTCAGGACTTTATTTGGCAGTCTGTCTTTTATCTTTAGTATTTCCATGGGGCTGCATGGACGGATAGTATCTGTTTCCATAGAGTATGTATTTATAGAGTGAATTTGCTGTGTTATATCTGTGGTAGTGATCTCAGTAATAAAACAATTTTCAAAGTGCAGGGCGAATATTTGACAATTTTTATTTCGTATTTTGCTATTCCAACTTTAAGGGGAAGAATAGTGTCTCTTTGTTTGAGTATTTTTTTTATGGCAATCCATAGGCTAGCATCGTTTAGATTCAGTGTTGATAGATATGTTTTGTAAGATTTAAATCTATTGTTATCCAGTTCCCATTTGACTCTTCATATTAACTAGTTTAATCGCTTTTTATTTCTATTTTTCTTGTTCTTTGCCATATTCTTCTGCCTTTATGTTTTTCTTTTATTAATTGCTGAATGTGGAATTTCTTGTGATTTGTGATGGTTTATTAGTTGAACTACCATAAGTGGGGTCGGGGTTTTATCTTTATTGTTTAGTTTGGTTACTGATTTTACTTAGTAACCTAAGATTTTTAATTCTTCCATTACTTTGAATTCGGTTATTGATTTTGGTAGATTCCTTATAATTGCGGAGATTCGGTTTTTAATCTTTACGTATAATATTCTAACTTCTTTTCGTTTAGATATTTGGTTAGAGCACGGAAGTCATCCACGGCTTCTAAGTTAACTTTTATTTTGTCGTATTTAGATGTAGTAGTAAATTCGTTATTAATGATTTTCAATATTTCGTTTCGAAATTGGGAATATTGCTTTATGTTTAATATGAATAGTGGGGAAATTTTGGGTGAGTCTTCGGTCGATTGGGATTGTATTAAATAATTGTCTTGATTATCAGTTTGTGTGATGGAAATTGTATCTTCGTTGAAGGTAATCATTTCTTGATCTAAGTTATTAGTGTTATCTAGTAAGGTATAACGATTTGGAGTGATGAATACTTTTTTGGTTGGCGAATTGTGTATTTTTACCGTTTTTCTGGGAGGGCTGAATTCTTCGGAGTTGTTAGTTGTGGGACTATTAAGTTCAACTTTATTATCGTTTTTATTAATTATTTTTATGATGATTGGTGGGATTTTGTGTTCATTGTTAGAATGTGTGCGCGTAATTTTATGTTTATGTTTAATTGAATTAGATGTAGTAGGCCTGGCGGTATTTGAAATTTTGATACCGGTTTTTGGTATTTTTATTGTACCAGTATTTTCGGTATTACCGGTTTTATCGGTATTACCTGACGCGGACACGGTGACGGCCGTGTCGTGGTCCGTTGAGGTACGGCACGACCCTCGGGTAGATGGTGGTGAATTAGAAAAAAAAAAAAAGAACGATGACGGCGGTATTGGCCGGTGGGCCTTTTATTATTCGCACAAACACTAATAAGAACTGTTCGAAAATGAAATAATAAAAGTTCGGTGGCACAGGATGCACCGAGTGAACCACCGTCAAGTGAACACAAAAATTAAGTTGAGAAACAAAAAGAAAAAGAAATTGTGAAATGTAACAAAACAATGATGTCAGGAAACAAAAGGTCCGTTCGTTATTAATAAAAAATGAAATCAAAATTATTACTTTTAAGTGACTTCTCATGCTCGGTCCTCACCAAGTATGACTTTTTTTTATTTCTGATTTTAAAAACAATTTGTACTGTAGATCTAAAATTATGGTTTTTGTTTTGTTTTAGCGGTATATATAGGCAAATAGTGGTGTTAGGTCCCATCAAGTCACAAAAACATCTGGAGCTTAAACACCCCCTAGTTCAAATGTCTAGTTGCGCAAATGATAAAACATTAAAAAATATAGATAAAGAAATAAACTCACAAGAAAGAATAGGAACTAAGAGTTAATTAGATATTGAACATAAAGAATTAACTTTTGAAAGGAAACTTAGAGAAATAATGACAGACTCAAAAGAAATAATTAATAAAACAAATTTCTCGTTAGAAGAAAAAAAAAATTATTAATATTGTTGAAATTATAAGAAATCTTAATATCATGTAGAATTTCAAATGTTATGTAAAATTTAAAACATTTTATTAATCATAAATGTTGTAATCCATATCATATCATGTTAAAAATTGTAAAACAAAAATATTAAAAATTAGGGTGGATTGTAAAAGATTTCCATCTGAGGACAGAAATCTTTCTTTTCGAACGGAGGTGTTACGGATATACATAGATGTAAGTTCTTATGACTTTTACTACATAAGAGGGAACATATAAATCGTAATAATAGAGATCGGGAAATGATTGATTGAGTCGCGTCCCGCGTAGTCACATAATAAAATACATCACAAGCAGGGGCGGACTGGGCCACTGTGCTACTGTGCATTTGCACAGTGGGCCGGTGTCATATTATATTCATCGGGCCGGTGCGAAATAACCCAACGTGTATTGAATTAAAAATATTTTTGAAACAGATAATTGAATTTGTTTATTTGTATACAATTTTGATTCCCCGAGTATTACCATTGATAAAATATACGAATAAATAATAGTATATGTATATTTAATAAATGGTATACGTAATACGCTAGTCAATGTATATATTATATTATATATATATATATATATGATAAATCGCTGCGCTATCAGCGGTCGACCGCCGCTGGGGAATACCGGAAAACATATTCTTAAAATAGTTTATAGTTATTACAGTATTGAGTCTATAATAGCCTAGACAGTAGACACTATCACTATGATAGTATGAATGCACAATACGAATTGATTTCTTATTCCCATAATTTTGATTGCGTCGTGTACTCGCACATCGCATTGCTATAATTTAAAACATAAAATGATGAAAAAAAAACTAAAAGGTGGAGCTGAAAAGCTTCGTTTAAAAAAAATGATCAATTTCAAAGCTGTTGCCAATGACCCAAAACAAAAAAAAATTGAATTTGGATTGGATCGCTCTAACAAAGTATTCGTAGGTAAGTATAAAGAATTTAGTATACTATAGATTCTTATTTCAAGGTACTGATTCATTAATTACGTTTGTTATACATTACATCAAAGATTTTAATATTGAATTAATAATATTTAAATATAATATTTAATTGAATTGCAGATTAAATAATATCTAATAATCTATATTTACTAATCTGTAAATTAAAATGTTTAACGGGTTAACTGGATTCATTTTTCTTTCAATATAATTGGTATGTAAATATGTGATTACTTTTTAATATTATTTGTATTCTAAATATTTAGATGATTGTTCAACACAACAAAAACAACAAAGTTGCTCAGTTAAAACTGTAGAAAACAATCCTTCGGTGAGTAAACTTTTTTTAATGATATATTACTAGATAGGTATTCTTGTAATCTTGTTCGGTAAGATCTACCTTATACTTATTATGTTGTGTATAAATTATTATTAATTAGTTAATGTTTTTACTACCTATTTTAATATTAAACATTTATTATGATTGTTCAGATGTATTCAACTGCTAAAAATCAAACCGAGCAAAGTAGTGTATCCTGTTCGTTTTCGTTACCTGAGGTTGAGGAACATATTGCTGCAGAAAAAATATATTCATTTGTGATTCCCAAAAAAAGTTCTATTAATCAAAAAATGGATTTTATGAAACAACATCCTTGTCAACCAACTGTACTGCATAATGTTTCATGGTCTCTTTTCAAACTTTTTAATAGAGAAGATCAGAGAGGTAAACCCATTTTGCGAAAATGGTTGACATTACAATGTGTTAAAAATAATGAGGTTAAAGCCTTGTATTGCAGTATATGTATTGCTTTCTCTACATCATCAACCAATTTTTCTACTGGCTGCACAAATTTCAGAAATATTTATGCAGCTGTAGAATCTCATGAAATTAGCAAAGTACATATTTGTGCTGTTGAAAGTTATGTCAAAGCTTCAAGTAATGATAGTATTGAATATTTGATCAACCGTAATGTGATGAATATGAAAAAAAAACAAGTCGAAGAAAGAATTCATGTATTAAAACAAGTATTTGAAATAATAAAATTTTTGGGTAAGCAAAATTTGCCTTATCGTGGAACTGGTGACACAGAAGGGCTGTACAAGATGAATGATGTTAATATCAATAGAGGTAATTTTTTGGAGCTTTTGAAATTTACTGCTGAAAGAGATGCAATTTTAAGACAATATTTAGACAATGCTATATTGTCAAGTAAAAAACGAAAATTAAATATGGATCAACGGCAAAAAAATTCTAAGGGAAGAGGATCATTAGTTACACTTGTATCCAAAACTACTGTTAATAAAGTAATTGAAGGTATACTAGAAACTATGAGGAAACATATTCGTGAAGAAATGGGTGATCAGCATTTTAGTATACAAGTATGACAATTTTAAATCAACATATTTCTTATTTTTAATTAAAAATTCATTGTTTTTACTATTTTAGTTTGACAGTACTCAAGATATTGGAGCTACGGACCAAGCCACTATCTGCCTTCGCTACTTAAATAATACAGATATTAAAGAGCGCCTTTTTGCCGTCATTAAAGTAGAAGATTCAGCAGGTAAAAGTTTATATGAACTATTAAAAACTTGCTTTGACAAACATAATATAAATTTTAAAAATGTCATTGGTGAATCTTTTGACGGTGCTTCTAACATGAGAGGAGAGTTTAACGGTTTGCAGTATTTTATTAAGCAACAAAACGAAAACAGTATTTATGTTTGGTGCTATGCCCATATTCTAAATTTGTGTATTTGTGATACCTGTGACAATTTAGCAGCCAAGAATTTATTTGGGTTCTTGAATCGCTTGAGTACATTCTTTTCTGATTCTTATAAACGAATGGACATTTGGAAGAAAAATCAAGAAAATTTAGGTGTTGGAGTAAAAAAACTTAGAAAGCTACAAAAAATCGGGGAAACAAGGTGGTGGTCCAGAGAAAAAGCACTTAAATGGGTTTTCGACGGAGAAGATTGCTTATACCCAACTATTGTCAGTGCTTTAGATTTTATTTGTTCGTCAAAAAAATTTGATCAAAAATCCATATATGAAGCAACTTCATTAAAAAATAAATTGTGTGAATTCCAAGTTATTTTAACAGCCCATTTATTTATTAAAGTTTTTGATTCAGCCGGACCAACATCATCATATTTGCAGTCCAGTAATTTAGATCTTTTGGCTGGTTGGTTAATGGTAGAAAATACAATTGATGAAATTGGAAAAATAAATTTTGATACAATTGTCGTTGAAGCAGAGAAATTCTCACAAAATATGAATGATAAATTTACAAATTTTGAATTGAATGATAGTATAGTTGTGGAAGATAAATTACCATTAATACGTTCTAGACATAAGAAGCGCAATTATGATGAAATGTGTTCAGATGAACATATTATAAATCCTATTGATAAGTTTAGAGTAGAAGTTTTTCAATGCACTATTGATCAATTGAGAAGCAGTTTTATTCAAAGATTTTCAAGCAATAGAGAAATTATAGCAGATATTCAGTATTTATTACCAAAAAATTTTCAATATGCAAAGGATAACAGTCTACCAGAATCAGCATTAAAAATTTTATCAAAATTATCATCAATAAACCATCAGAAATTAGTGTCTGAATTGAACCATTTCTCAAAAATATATGATAACATTGCAAAGCCTCTGAATTCAAATACTTCAAAAATGTATAATGATGATGATGATGATATGTTTCAAGATAATGAAGAATTTTTTCTAGACTGGGATAAAAATGATGAAATGAATTTAGAAGTTAAAGGTAAAATATATCAATATATACTGTTTTTATATTTTAGTTATATATGTTTAGTAAAAAATATGTTTGTCTTTTTTATAGGGTGTGAAAAATCAAAAACTTCCAATAATAATCATAATACAAAATCATGCTTAATATGTCTACAAAAATTAATATACCAATTAAATATGCATTCACCTGCATATTGTAATTTTTATGCTGCAGTTGAATTTGTTTTAACACTCTCTGTTACACAGGTTAATTGTGAAAGAGCATTCAGTAAGCTTAAAATAATTAAAAATCGTTTACGCTCTTCATTAAATCAAGACCATCTTGAAGCATTCATGCTTATGTCAATAGAAAAAGATATATTAGATGCTATTGACTTCAAAGAAATACTAAATATACTAAAAAATTCTTCATCATTGATGAACCAGATGTTATCGTTGTAAAAACCAAAGTGTAACCATATAATATTATTTATTTTAAATATTATAATATCTGTTATAAATTATGTGTAAATGTTAGTCGTTAATAAATAGTTATTTTACTATTGTACATTTATATTTTGTACTATTTATTATAGATGCTACAGATGTATTTAAAGTATGAACAGTTAAGTTAAATAAAATTTGTTAATTTGTCTAGAAGTAATTTTTTTTTATTTCTATAAACAAAGTTTAAATACATATTATTAAACAGTGATTTAAAAACTCTTATGATAAATTATTTTTGGGAAAATCAGTAAAAAAAAATTTTCATTTTACAATATATATATATTATATTTTAAAGAAAATTAAACTTAAATTACAATATCCAAATATAAAAACATACTTATTTAATTGATAAATTTAAAAACTAAAAAATATGAAGAGGTAAAAATTTTTTGAAATCTTGGTTTTATGTACGGTAGGGGCCGATTTTTTTTTGCAGAACAGTGGGCCGATTGGGTCCCAGTCCGCCCCTGATCACAAGGAGGTTCCCATGAACATCAAAAACCACAACTGTGGATAAGTTAGATTATTGTGTTCACATGGTTATTACACTGGAAATTACAATAAGGAATTAGAATATCGAAATCACAAGCGTGGACAAATGAAAGGGTTCACATAAACGTTCTTATGGGAAATTAAAATAAATAGTTAATCAAAAACCACATCCTGGGCATTTGCCAATAATTATGTCACGGCCAGAGATAACGCACACACACTCACAATTCATAGGAAATTATCATATTTTATTATCGTTTTCATTTACACACACATACTTGAGATTTACACACACACGTCAGTGTATGTTATGGTCCGGACTTAGAAATATTTCAAACTATTTTTATAAGACATAATTATTAGGACTTATATATACAGTGAAACCTCTGAATAGCGGACACTCTCGGTCGCCGAAATTTTGTCCGCTATTTAGAGGTGTCCGCTATTTAGAGGAAAATATTTTTTTTAACAAATAAATAAATTCATTAATTTTATTTTATATTACTTTTACATTAATTAAATACACGATAAAACTAACATTTATGAAAAAAAACCAGTTACCTAAATTTTTATTTTATTTTTACATTAATTAAATATGAAAACTAAAAAAATAAAAACTAATAAAAATAAAAAAAAATCTGTTACTTTAGTTTGTTTACTAATTGCAGGCGTAGTTATTTCGTATGTTAAGGCATTTTCTAATTGGATTGTGTTTGAGAACAATGAACTATTCTGTACCTCGATAGAAGAAATATATGTACGTATGTCTTTTACTGCTAGCAATGCCTCTCATAGACTTCTTATTTTTGGAATTTCTTGATCTTCGGACCCATCATTTTCTTCATCACTTTCTTCTTCATTTTGGGTAGACATGCTCGTAGTATCAGATGATGTCATAAAAGTGTCCGTTATTTAGAGTGTCCTGTATTTAGAGGTTTTCCTATATAAAAGTGGTGAAAATGTACCCGTCCCCGAAAAAACGTCCGCTATTTAGAGGTGTCCGTTAAGGGAGGTTTCACTGTACTTATATAGCGTTGCTATATTATAATATTGTAAATAGGATATAACTGTAAAAATAGTCATGAGTAGAACATTAATATAACAATTAGGGTGGCCAGATATAAAATACGAAAATACGGGATTTTTAATTAAATTTACATATTTTCTATTATATGGAAAATGGAAATAGTCGTATTTTTAATATATACATAATATATACATTATTGTACAGCTATATTATTATTACTATTTGAGCTATTATAATTTCAGGCAGGTACAATTTTTTAGATTCTGAACGAAGTGATCAAATTTTTACGAAATATGTTAAAATGGCAAAAATTTTAAGTATATATATCTAAGGTTTGAAAATTACAATAATAAAAATTTAAAAATTCACGAACGATTTTCTATCAAACAGTTTTAAATATAAAATTCTGAAAAATTCATCAAGGTTTCAGTCCCAGCTCTATATATTAATATTTAAAAAATATACAAAACCTTATAAAATTCACCAACAAATTTTATAAAATTACAAGACTGTTGTATATTTATTGTTAATAATGATAATAATAATAAGTACATTATTAATTTATACATGATGCAATACTTTTATTACTAAGCCAAACTTAAAGGTATCATTTCCTGGTTTAGTAGACAACGGTTGTATTGCCATGGTAGTTCTCCATCAACTGATACAAAATAGTTCATAAATTCTTTTCTAACATATTTTGCAGTTGCATTAAAATTTTTTGGTCCATTTCTATTTAAACTCAATAAACTACTGGTAGGCATCCCTTCTTCTCTCCATGTACCTGGTAGTATTTGACTATCGGAAGTTTCATGATCTAAGCTTCCAAATGGTGTGTACAATGATCTAGTGTTTTTCTTAGTAAGTAAATAATTATGAAGGCAAGTTATAGCAAAAATTACACGATCAGCGTTATTTGGTTTAAGCATTATAGGTTTTCGTAAAACTCGAAAAACTCTAGCTGCGATTCCAAACGCATTTTCCACAGTTCTTCTGGCTCTAGACAATCTATTATTGAAAACTCTATGAAGCATATTATTAATTTCAGTAGCATGAGGAAAAGGTTTCAATAAATGAGGCTGTAACCCGAAAGCAGAATCCCCAAGTATTAAGTATGGAACAGGTATATTTCCTCCAGGTAATTTTTGAGTTGGCTTATGAAGTAATTGTTCTTCCAAATAAGGCGCAATTTCTGAACGTAAAAAAATACTGCTATCGTTATGTCTGTCGTTGCAACCGATATCTACTAATATAAACTTGTATTCGAAATCTACAACTGCCATAATACAATACTATGAAAACCTTAATAGTTATAAAATTCACTTCCAGAGTTGGGCGGTGCTTGTATCATTACTTGTTTTCCGTCAACAGCTCCAACACACCGAGGAAAGTTCCATTTTTGCATAAATCCATTACTAATTCAATCTTCAAGAGAATTTGAAGCCTATAAAAAATGTAATAATTATAATATTATTATTATATATTATTGAGGATCTTGTACTAAGTTTTACAAACCTTAGGTATAAATACTTAAAATTTTATAAATTTTTGACTACAAAATAACTTCAAATTTTCATGAATTTATCATATTTTGTAAAAATTTGAACACTTATAAAAGAAAATTGCGACTTAGGATTTTTAATATTTTAATGGTAATGAGTAAAATTTATGATACACTTTATATTCAATTATCAGCGATTAACAATTATTAAACAATATATAATATAATTTATAATATATTAACAATATAAAGGTATTAAATACCCTAGGTGGCCTAGGCTGATAAATTATCTCTATTCATAATCGTTTTTCTTTCTATACAATGATTTATTATTGAATTAAAATATTTTAATACATGCGCATTCTATACTCAACGAGGTTCATTTGACACCTACTATACATACAGTAGAGCGATTTCCCGTTTTTTTTTTAATTTTAAATATGTAAATTGTACAAAAAATAGTGTTAAATAATTATGTTGGTAGTAGGTACATAATATAATATGCATTATTATTTTTATTCAGGCTCAGTGTAGTCAACAAAATCGAGAAGAAAAAAAGCTAAACGTCAAATACAAAGAATTCTGTTGGACATCGCTGAGGAAGATGACTCATATATGTCAACCACAAGTTTCATTCCTGTTCCTTCGACTTCATTCTCAAGCGTGAGTTCAAATAGCAGTTACAATACAATATCTACATATAATAACAACCTAGATTATAACTATATTGTAAACCAAGCTGTAACAGACATTCCAAACATGCCGAATAGTTTTAATACTGATATTTAAAACAACCCATACACTATAAAGTAAAGATTTAATTTTTTTTTTAATTTTTCCAATAATTTTTTTTAAACAAAAAGAATGTATTTATTTTATTTAAAATGTTTATTTTAAGCTAATTTAAAAAGTATTTAAATAATAAATCATAATATGTTGTGAACTGTAGAAGTATTTTTAGTACCTTTAAAAATCCTTTTTCTTGCAATACAACTTGTTTGATAGCTATTAACACATAACAACATATGATAGTGTTATCAAACTAACCTCAATATATATAGTTGTTGCATGTACAAAAAACACACACATTGTATACTCATGGTTTTGTAATTTTAAAATAATAAAAATAAAGAAGTCTAAAACATATAGTGTTATAATTTAATAAAAATACAAATACATGACGCAGTTGTTAACGAATCTAATTTATCTGCAAGTGGTTTTAAATAATAATTCAAATAAATTAAATAAAGTGAGTTAAATAATGGAGTTCAATAAACCAGCACCTTTAAAAATGACTGGTAACTTATGTCAAAACTTCAAATTTTTCAAACAACAAATTGAAATATACATGACGGCAACGGAGACAGACGAAAAAGCAACAAACATTCAAGTAGCAATATTATTGAATTTGTTGGGTACGAATGCCTTAAAAGTCTACAATACTCTGGTGTCGAAAAAAGCTGATACCGAAGTATCACAGATTCTTGAACGGTTGGAAAAATATTATTCACCTAGAACAAATGAAATTATGTCACATTACTAGTTTTTCACATCAAAACAAAATGAAGACAATTTTGATGTCTATTTAACAAGACTTAAAGAACTTGTCAAGCCGTGTAATTTTGGTTTACTTGAAAGTAAGTTACTGAAGACACAAATTTGCTAGGAATTCGTTGTCGTGATACACTCGAGAGATAACTGCGAGAAGACATGACTTTGGACAAAGTAGTGACGTTCTGTCAATCAATTAAGGCAGCTGAGAAAAACTGCAAAGAATTAGAGAGCAAAACAGAGGTATATCACATAGCCAAGCAGTCATCAGAAGTTTCTAGACAGAAGACAACTATAAATAATTGTACAAGGTATGGTAAGACACATTTAATTAATAAGTGCTTCGCCTTTGGAAAAATTTGTAATAAATGTAAGCGTATGAATCATTTTA